CCGCCCACTATTCTCCGCCCACTGCGCTTCTGGCCGGGAGCCTGGCACGAAGGCGCAAGCGCCGAGGCCACGCGGCCCCGCGGCTTGCCGGGAGTCGTAGTCCTGACGCACAGCCGCGGCCCTTTCCGGCTTGAAGGCCCAGGAAGAGCACGTCACGACGTGACGAGGCCGTTCGGCCTCAATGTTGATGCGTTGCCTGGCAACCGCAGGCTTACCTTTGGAAGCTTGTCACAGGTCGGCTCAGGTCCTGCCTTCCTCCCGCCCCTCCCCTCCCCAAAGTCCCTTCACCTAGGCGCTGACAAACATCTGGATTGGCCTGGGCCCAGGAGCGGTTGGCTTCCATCAGTAGTGCGCCTTTGGGCCTTCTGCCCTGACCTGCCCCACTGATCCTTAATACACAGTGGTTTTTGTATGAGAACAAGACATTCCTAGGAAGATGGTGGCAGAGAAAGAGACCCTAAGCTTAAGCAAATGCCCAGACAAGATGCCGAAGAGGACCAAGCTGCTGGCGCAGCAGCCGCTCCAGGTGCACCCGCCGCACTCACTGGTGTCCGAGGGATTCACTGTCAAAGCCATGATGAAAAACTCGGTCGTAAGTGATCTCCTGTGGAATATACGCCCCCGCCCCCTCCTGCCCCTGTGCCAGCAGCAGGCCTGGTTACACAGGCCCCGCCTGCCCTGGAGACCCAGCCCGCCCCAGGGAAAACTTGCCAAGCCCACTGGGTGACACTGCCCTGCCAACAGTGTGACCCTGCCCAGGGGAGACCCACCAAAGCCACAGCGTGACCCTGCCAGGGAAGCGACCCACTAAGCCCACGGAGTAACCCTGCCCACAGTTTTACCCTGTGAGGGTGGGGGTGGGGAGGCGATCCATCAAGCCTATGGTGTGACTTTACTTGGGGGAAACGCACCCTGCCCACTATGTGGCCCTGACCACAGTGTGACCTTGCCAGAGGCTAGACCCAACCTGCCCACTCATGCCCCTGCCTACAGCATGATCCTGCCAGAGGGAAGCTTTGCCAAGGAGAGACCCTCCCTGCTCAGAGTGTGACCCTACCAGAGGAGAGACCCACCCTGCTCAGAGGGTGACCCTACCAGAGGAGAGACCCTGCCCACAACATGACCCTTCCCAGAGTGTATGCAGGCCAGGCCAGCTGGGTGACAGAGGTTCCTCAGCAAGTGACACCCATCCTATTTAGGAGTACTTCCCCGTGCACCCTCATTTCTAGACCATCCAGATTACACCCAGCTCTTTACAAGCAGAACAAAGCTCCCCTTACTAACTGCTCTGCCCAGCAAGGGGCTATTGGAGAGGGAGGCTTGGAAACCACACACTCTCCTGCAAGCCTACCATGTGCTCATGGACCACCAGCACCCTAAACTGGTCCAGTCTTCTGAGATGAGAAAGCTCATCTATTTAGGCAAATGTATAATTTCTTTCCCCCTTTCTTTCAAAATAATAACAGCACGTGAGCACCCTGGTAGGCAGCTGGAGTGAGTTTCCTCACAGCATCCTTAAGCGATGCTTTAAATAACCCCATCTCCAGTTCAAGAATCCTTGCTTTCTACAGCCAGTCCTGTTCCGCTTCTATCTGTGGTCGTAAAAATAAAATATTCTTAATACTATTAGGGAAGAGAAATTTGAAGCACACACACACGTGGTTTGGCTGTGTGCATAATTTGTTTTGTCTTTATAAAAAAGGAAAGCTTCCTCTTTGTGAAAGAGCTTGAATTTTGGTATGCGAGACCAGATTTTACTACTGTGTAAACACCTGTCTGGGAAGGAGGCCTTAAATAATAAATGGAGCTTTCAAATCTGTGTAATTTACACCCTGGGAGGATCTGACTTATTGTATTGTAACTCATTATGTTAAATGAATAGTGCCGCTTCCCCGTGTCACATTATTAGTTTTACTTAAATGCAGTAAACGCAATGCCTTGTTCCTAAAGCACATCCCTCAAAGAAGCGCATGAGACAGATGACCTTCGATCCCCAAAGGCAGTGGCCTTCAATGCTGTTCTGGTTCTTGGTGCGTGTGTGTCCATCCATTTGCAATGGTTAGAACCCTGGGAAATAAGCTCATGTCCCTGCCTGTTGTTACTGCAGCCTCTCCACTGAATTGCAGGGAAACACATTTCCCGGGCAGCCATGCAGAATACCGTGGGCCATTGAAGGGCATCGTTTAGCTTTCCTTCCGTACACTGTTGATGATGATGACCATTTGATGATTATTGTCCAGTGCTGCATTCTAACATTTCAAACATGTAGGGGGTGGGTGTGTAAGGGGAGGTCCCAAACTATTTATTTTCTAAACCTATATTCATATATTCTTCTATCACGTGTGTTCTTGAACATAGCCATAAACTCAAAGTCTTTGCCAGGATAATCACGTGTTTCAGGATTCAAAAAGAAACAAAGCCAAACTCAAAAACCCAAACCTGATGCTGTTGAGTGGATTCCAGGGCAGGGTCCCCCAACATGTGTCACTGAGAGTCTTTTTTTCACTGTGACCTTCAGGGCAGTGATTTCAGGGTTCAAACTGTCAACCTTTCTGCCAGAAACTAATCGTCAACAGCTGTGGCAGCCGACCAGTATGTTGACCAAAGCATCGATTATGAAATAGCTTTCTTTGTGAACAGCTCATGGGAGATAATTCTCTCCTCCTCTTTGCGTCATTTTGAAAACAACATCTTAGTGTAATATTTCTCTCTCCACTGGGACCCCAAATGGGATGATTCTTTTTTAACTTTTTACACTTAATGGGCATCATAATTCTTTGATGTAAATATCATTCTCTCCATAGAGAACTTTGGAGAGAGGTGAGGGGTGGGGGAGGCATGCGTACTACATGTGAAGCAGTGTTGAGGATTGGGGATCAACAGTAAACAAAAGCCCCATCCCCAAGAGAGCTGACCACCACCCCGACCCCCAAGCAAGTCCTCAAACAACAATGACAGGGCTGTGTATGCACTCTCACTTCAGGGATGCTGGGAAGCCAGCATCCCACTGTTTAAGTTGTCACAGTGGAGCTCTCTAGGCCCATTTTTAAAGTTAAACAACCCCTCTGTCCTTCTGTGGCTGCTCCTCTCTTCCCAGAGCACAATAACCTAGCTTTTTTCCTACTGGTAGGACTTGGACTCAATTCCTTTGCTACATAGATAACTTTGTACTCCCAAACTGTATCCCCCGACAAAAAACCTATACAACTGGACCTTCAGGAGTTACTCTTCTGAGATTGATGGACTGATAGGAACCCTGATGGCACCTGGGCTACTTTGACCTCAAAGTTGGCAATTGGAATCCACAAGTCCCCCTGTGGGAGAAAGATGTGGATATCCACTCCCATAAAGAATTACAGTCTCAGAAACCCACAGGGGCCATTCCACCCTGTCCTATGAGGTCACTCATGATGAGTTGGAATTGACCTGATGGCAGTGAGTTTGCAATTTCCGTACCGACAGACACGCAACGTTGATTTCAAGCAGACTTGGTCAGATGGGTCATGTGAACAGAAATCCTTATCTGAACAGCCAGAAGCTCTGTTTGAGATTGCCAGATTATTTACCAAATAATGATCAATGTAACCATCAGGTATTTTGAGGTCAAGGTCGAACATGTATTCTCCGATAATGAGTTGTTTCCTTACTTCCGTGATATCACTGCTGCAGTTTCTGAGAACACAGACAAAAACAAAATACAAACAATGGGGAGAGAACTTGCTGGTTGCTCTTGGTATAAAATTCCCCTGAAAGAGTGGCCGTGGTAAAAAACTGAAGCTTTCATAGTGCCTTGTCCCGGGAAGGCTTTGGCTACATAGGACCTGGCCCATGCCTACAACCCTGGGAGCCTGCTTGTGGTGCGCTGATCTGGGCAGGCAGTAGAGGCTGTCTATGCTCACTTACCTCGTTATAAGGCACGTTAGCGTGCGGACCCCAGGCGATGGCGGTAGACAAGCTCTCTTTAGCTAAAGCTTTATGCTACAGCTTCAAGCGCTCTTGCCTGTACCTGGTTTTCTCCACGTGTAGGGAAATGAGAGAAATCCTTCCTAAATTTACTTTAGAGAGAGAGCGTGCTTTATACTTGCCAATCATACCTTCACCTGAGACGCAGCAGTCATGGTCACCAAGGATAAATTGTCAGGATATCGATGTGTCTGCTTTGAGAGAGACTGAGTAAGCAATAGCTTAAATAAGACAGAAGTCGGGTTCTCCTGCTACGGGCTGGCCTGGCCAGTCTTCCCCATGAAGGGAAGACACCAGGGGGTCAAGTTGGCTCTCGTCCCAAGAAAGAGTACAGAGGGAGGAGAGGACTCTTTTTTAGGGGCTTAGTAGTTGAGATGTTGCCCTCTGTCACCACACACATTTCACTGGCTGAGAGGAAGTAATAGGGCCCTATTTCCCCCTTTTGGAAAAGCATATGAAAGGCTGACCTCAGGCTCTCCCCCTCACAAGTTCCATCAGAAAGAAAGGGTCTCCTCCTGCCAAGATGGAGTAGGTCTCCTTGACTCATTTGTGTTCTACTGTGTATCAGAATTGTCTTGCGTGTGCTTTATTTCCCAGTGAGGGCCAAGTTCAGGTCCAGACCATCCTTCCATCCTAATCTCCTAAAAGTGCACTCAATAAATACTTAATGAATGAAAAGAGGACAGCCCTAGTCTTCCCTGTGTCTATCTTCTCCCTCTTTCTTGATATTGTCATTTTATGTATCTCTAGTTAGCTTTTTCTTTTCTTTTTCCCCACCCACCTTCCCCTAAATTAAGGAGCCTAGGGGATCCCTTCACAGCTACGTGTGCTTAGGTGCTCTTGAGTTGGTTCGGGTTCACAGAATGAAACACTTCCCCGTCCTGCCCATTCTCACCACCGTCCTAGCTTTCAGCCTGTGGTTGCAGCCACTGTTAATCCATCTCCTTGATGGTCTTCCTCTTTGTCGCTGACCCTCCACTTTACCAAGCATGGCGTCCATTTCCAGGGACTGGTCTCCTCTAATAACATGTCCAAAGTATTTGATACAAAGTTTCTCTGTCCTTGCTTTTAAGGAGCATTCTTGCTATACTCGCAAGACACATTCTGTGGTTCTTGTGCCCGTCACAACGTTTTCAATATTCTTTGCCAACACGATAATCCAGATACATCAATTCTTCCTTATTCATTGTTTTCCTTAATTCATTGTTCAGCTTTCCCATGCATATGAGACTATTGAAAATAGCATAGCTTTGGTGAAGGGTCTATTAGTTCTCCAAGTGCCATCCTTTCTCTTCAACACTTTAAAGAGGTCTGTGCAGTAGATTTACCCAATGCAATGCATCCTTTGATCTCTTGACTGCTGCCGCCATGAGCACTGACTGTGCATCCAAGCAAGATGAAATCCTGGACAACTCCCATCTTTTCTCTGCTTATCACGATTTTTCAGAGTAGAGTCCTTGCCATTCCTCACCCAGGGGCACGTCATCTCACCATGGGCCCACCATGATCTGGTGACCTTTGTCTTTCTCAACTGTTACTTAGCCCTTTCTCCCTCACTCCTCCTGTGCCATGCAGAGTAGGTCTCCTTGGTTCATTTGTTTGATCCTTGAAGACATCAGCATGGCTCAC